ACAGCGACCCTGCAGGACAGGTGCTGGGGTCCCATTTCAGAGAGGTGGAGGCTGAGGCTCGCAGGGGCCCAGAGCCCGTGGGTCGGCAGAGATGATCCCAAAGGCCAGGCTTGGGGCTTTCTGATTTCCAAATGGAAGCTGCTAGTTGGCAAGAAAACGGAATGGGCAGGTTCTCTCTGGAACTCTGATCTCTGGGTGTGTTGAAGCATAAACAGGCCCCACTGCGCCGCACTGAGATGATGTTAGGACAAAGGTCCCTGGTAGCTGTTGTGCATTGATTCACTAATTCCGAAATACTGCTTGGGCCCCTCCCTAGCAGGCGCCAGGCACAGCACTGGGGATATAAACACAAAGAAGCCACGCGTGTTGCCCTGGGGACTCACCATGCAGCGACTGAGATCAGAAACAGAGGATTCAAAGCCTGTGAGTTCAGAGCAATAAAAGATGTACATTCGGGAGCGGGAGAAGGTGAGTGGCCTTCCAGAGAGGCCCCGTGGAGGAGGGGCTGAAGGAGAGCAGGTGTGAAGTTGCAAAGGCCGAGCCAAAATGGTGTGCTCCTGTGGTGGGGTGGACACCGGAGGGCAGGTGGGAGAAGCAGGCTGCCAGACAGTGAAGGGCTGTGGACAACGTGATTATCCAACACGAGCAACCCCCCGACGGAGCACAGACTGAGCGTCAGGTGTGGCTGCAGCTGCACTCGCCCAACGAGGGAGGCAGATCCAGGGCTCTTTGCCCCATGGATGGGGCAACAATTGCTGTGAAATATTTATTAATTCAAATACCAACAACCAATGTTTTCTGAGCAGTTAGTGCCAGGCACCGAGCTTAACAGACATCCTCGAGTAATCCCACCAGCCCTGCAAGGCAGCACTGTCGCCCCCAACTTACATAAGAGGAAGCGGAGGCTTAGAGAGGTTTGGAGGCAGCCCAGCGAGTCCAGCTGAGCTGGCTTAGGCCTGCCCAGCCGCCACAGTGCCGGGCACCAAGCTCAAGGGTTTAGGTCCCCCCCTGTGATTGCAAGGTTCTGAGCAGGGGTGCCGCTGCCCTTCCCCCCATGGGCGGAGGTGGGGAAAGCATCACCAAAGGTGGGCAGAGCTGGAAGTACACTTCCCCCTCCTCCTACACCAGAACTACAGGTCCCCCCCCACCCTCTGCCCTGTGTCATTCCTGACCCAGGCTGGTCTTACCAGTGACATGTCACCTGCCACCCACTCTTTACATGGCACTATTCCGAGTGACACCTTTTTCATTTATGAGAACCAATGAAGAGACCTTAACTAAGCCCCCACTGAGAGGCCTTTTAGAAAAACCATTTATGACGTTTAGCAACATTTTTTTTGCAACGACAAGGTGGGTCACCTTCAAGCCCACCCTACCAGGCTTCACAGGAATTTCCTACTGGAGGGACTTAACATCGTAGACAGGGTGTGTGCCAGGCTAGTGGCGGTGGCCGCACGGAGCTCGCATTCAAATGCCTGGGCACGAAGGAGCTCAAGGCAGCATCGCACACGGGCATGAGGACTTCCCATTATTTGTCAAGTTCTAGAGGCCAGGTGTCACTGTAGTCCAAGGCCTCCCACTTCACAGACAGAATGATCAAGGTTCAGAGAAGTTCTGTGATTTGCTTGTTGACCCAAAACCCCAAGAGGCCTGATAACAGTGTTCCCAGGACTGGTGGGCTGGACAGGGGTGGTTCTGTCCCTGTGTCCTGGCCTGACACGGAAAGGCAGGGGTCACGCCACCACCTGGGAGAATCCGATTCTGTGCTCACTGAGAGAGCAGGAAGCCCAGGCTGCACGGGGGAGGGGGAGAGGCCTGTGCGAGGTCCTCGACCTCCCCCCAGGCCCTCCCACATCCAGCAGCAAAACCAAAAGGGTAACGGGAGGAGCTTAACATGATGCAATTCTGAATGCGTGAGGGCGGTGAGGGGTGGGGGCGCGACGGGTTACTTGTGCTAGTGGCAAAGTCCAAAAACAAGGCATGGCAAATCAATGCACTCAGCACGAAGTTCAAAGTAAACTGCCTGGGACCAGAGGTTATGGGTTCCAACTCCCTGGTGTCTAAACCCTGGCAGGGGTGCTCTGGCCCCTGCCCCACCCTTGTGAGTGCCGGCTTGGCAGTGGCAGAAAGTAGGAGCCTGGCAGCCCTGCCATTCCCAGCACCCAGGTCCGGCTGGACAGGGCTCCTAGTGACCTCACTTCCTTTTCTTCCACTGAATCAGTTGCTCCTCTGGCTCCACCTTCTACCTTTAGGCCCAACGGTGCCCTTTCTCTGTCCAGGGGGAAGCCCCTGCTGACACCACAGACACCTGTGCCACATGCTGCCACCAGGTGGACAGCTGGTGCAGCCATATGGGCCCCGAGGAGCTGCTCCCACAGCTGGCACCCTGAGACCTCGCCTTTCAATCTCTGGGGACACTGGGGTCGTTTTGGGAAACACCAAACATGGGTAAAAAGCAACCGGCCTTCTTGCTGTCCTGGGACTGGAGTGAGGCAGGTGACGCCTGGGGAAGACCACTTACTTGCAGCAGGCTCCGCGGCCCGGCAGGACAGAGGGCCACTCGGCCACTCCCTCCCCCCAGCCATCTTTCTCCTCCCCCAACATCCTGCCCGCGCCCAGATACAAGCTAGCGCTTACTCCTCACATTCCTGAGAATCATAAATCCTCCTGGGAGGCAGCGCCTCTGCACCACCTACCCGCACCCCCCCCCCCATCGCCCTGAGATGGTGGGGCTTCTTCTCCTTTTCTTAAAAGTCACGTTGGGCTTTCAGGAGGGGATGAAGCCCAGCAGACTGAAGTTGATGATACGCACACCGGAGGGCGGGTGGGGACAGAGCCCTGCCTGTCACCCCTCCCCTCCCAGCGCAGAAAGGGGGTCGTTATTTCTCCAGCTCTTTGAAGTGGGGGCCGAACTCGCTTCACCCCAACTTCAGTTACCACCCACAGGGGCCATGGAGGAAGCGGGCACCTCTGGGGAAGCTGGGAGTGGGGTGGTCGAGAAGCCGGCCGCGGGATGAGTTGAATTAGGCTTCCCAAAACACTGGCGTGGACACACCACCAACAGAGCTGAGGAAATGGGGCTGAGCTCTTTTGAGCTGCCGTCCCTCACTCCCACTTCCACAGGACAAGGGACAAGAGGTGCATGTGGAAAAAGAGCTCGGAGGCCCAGCCCAGTGTGGAGGAGAGGGGGTGAAGGTCGTGGGAAGCAGCCCCAAGCCTGCAACTACCAGTGCGCCCAGTAGGCGGGCGGAAGCAGTTTCCCCCTCGAGGATCCAGTTTCAGAAAGACACGGCGGGCGCAGAGCTTGGCGTGAGGGCTGCCTGGGTCTCTCCCCGATGACCCTCTACCGCTGTTCCGAACTCGCCGCCCGACCTGGGCCCCCACTTACGCGCTCCGGATGGCTCTTCTCGGGCTCACGGGGTTCCGGCACGGCTGCCTGAGCCTCATTTTCGCTGCCAGCCCCTTGCTCCTCGGCGGTGGCCGGCGACTCGGCCTGCCCGGGCCCTTCCTGGGGGCGGACCAGCTCCTCTCGGATCTGGACGCCCAGCTTCTGCAGCTGCTCGTCCGTTTCGGGGTCGACCACCAGCAGACGTACGGCATTGAGCGAGGCGCGGATGCGGCTCACCACCTGCTGGTGGGTCTCCTTCTCCACGTTCTCGCCATTCACCTCCACCAACCGGTCTCCCGCCAGCAACCCCGCCCTCTCAGCCGGCGAGCCAGGCTCCACCAGCCGGATGAACTGGCCCACCTTGCCCTTCTCCCCGTGCAGGTGGAAGCCGTAGCCGTTCGGACCCTTCTCCAGGCAGCAGAGCCGGGGCAGTGGCGCCCCGGCCGCCGCGTCCGTGCTCATCTCGCCCTGCGACGCCTCAGCGGTGCGACGCGGGGTGCTGTCCGGGGCCGGAGACCGGACGACCCAGCCCTTTTGTCAGTTCTGCAGAGCGGCAAGCTGGAGGGAGCGCCGCAAGAAACCTTTGCGCTGGCGGAACGAGCAGGTGGTCCGCGCGGGGGAAGCCGCGAACTGCGAGGAGCTCAAGCACAACTTACCGACCAATCCCCGCCCCGCGCGGCGTCTGAGCGTTCCAGAACCCGCCCCGACCCCTCTTTTCAGGAGGCGGGGCCTTGCCGTGGGTGTGGACCACCTCGGACCAATCAGAGGACAAAGGCAGGGGGCACTCTGCCCGGGTGAAAGACCCCGGCCAATGAGGACACGCAGGGGCGGGGCTCTGCGCTGGGCGCCGAGCCCCGCGGCGGCAGAAGAAAGAGGGCTCAGGAAGTGGAAGTGTTTGTTACTAAGTAGCCGGAGTTGAGGCGAGGGGCGGAGCGAGTTCCCAGGACTGGGCAGAAGGGCTTTCGGGCTCTGTTCTGATTTCCCCACCTGTGTCGGGGACTGAAACGAGCCAATCCGTGGGTAAAGGACCCTAAAGTTAACAGCCTTTGGCCAAAACCTTCTGTGCAGCTTCAATGCGGGGGTGGGAGGAGCGGGGTGGGACTGGGGGGGGGGCGGAGTGACCGTTGCTGGGGAAACCGATCTCCCGGGCTGCGTGTTTCAACCGGTCTTATGAAAAAAGGCTGAGGTCCACCTTGGACCCAACAGAGTTGTTTGAATGACGAAGTCTCCTGTTTGTGGAGTCACTTTGTGCTGTCCCAGGACCTGCTTATGGGGGTGCGTGCTCTAATCCTCACTGGGACAATGTGAGGACTCAGCAGAGGGACTTCACGAGGCTGCCCACTGAAGACGGGCCACCTAGGGCAATGGCATGAGTATTGGCATTAGCGTTTGACCAGGGAGTTGGGGACAGGCAGAACAGCACCAGGTAACCAATCTCTGGGTACAGTCTACAGGGAAAAGAGTCCTGCTTCTCCTCAATAGAGAAAGAAAAAAATTATTAGGACAGTAATATAAGCCCTCTTTCAGCTCCTGACAGATAAAAGGCTGGTCACAGGGACTGGACAGGCTGTTAAGGGTGAGGTGACTAGTTGGCGACATTGAAGGACGAGGATCTAGTGATTTTGGCATTTAATGACAGTTCCTCCAAAGAGCACTAACATTCCTTTCAACATGATCCTTCACTCCTCACGCACATCTCAGAGAAGCAGTGGACAGGATGTGTTTGCCAAAATACTGCAATTTAATTCTGAAAACACAAATGGGAGAGGCCCAGAGCAGCCTGTGTGCCGGATCCCCTGTGACCTGCCTGGGGCAAGGTCAGGCTCCTCCCTGCTCGTCCCGGGAGAGGCCTCGGAGAGCTTCCTTATCGGGGCCCAAGTTGGAGCTGCTGACACTGCCCAGACAGCAGGATTTCTGCCTTGAAAGCAAAAGCAGCAGCCTCAGAAATGTGCATAGCTCCCCCGGCCCCTGGCCTGGAGAGCTGGCATAAAGGCGACTGTGGGTCGTGACATATAGGTCTCCTTGCTCCTTCCAGTTGCTGGGATCAAGGCTTTGGGAGACAGGTGACCTTGGTCCCACATTAAACTCCTTGCTGCCTCTTTCCCCACCCCACACTAACCCACAGGACCCTGTTTTGCACACGTGTTTTGGTTAACAGGAAATGGACGACCCCTCATTCCCTAACCTGTCCCAGCAGGAGGGGAGGAAAAGCCTTTGGGCCCTGGAGTCTGTTTGAAAAGAAAGGGTGTGGGTGGTCAGGGGAGGGGCAGCACTTGGGTTTAGGGGGATACACATGGGGTGAGGTTTGCTCCCCACCTGCTCTAGGAATTAAGGGTTTCTCTTTATCTCACTCTTTACTCAGGAGATAGAAGCCCTACCTCCGTTTAAAGAAGTAGCCTGTGGGCTGCATACCTGCCAAAGGGCTGGGACAGAGAATAACCTTCCCTTCACTGTGACCCTAGGTGTCCGGGGGCATAGACAGAAAAGAAGATAACCCCAGGGATTCCGGGAGGTTTGGAAATAGGAACCAATGTCTCTAGGTGCCCCATTGTGCTTGCGAACTTGAGGGAAAGGGGTGCACCTCCTGGGGTGGGGCTAGTAAGGCCAGATGAAGTCAAACAGACCCAATCCCTGCTATTCCTCTCTCCCCCTTCCGGGCAGCTGGGCCCCTGCCCAACCTCGACAGTTCTTATCTCCCCTGATAAGAGATAAGCTTCGGTCTAGATCCTAGCACTGGGGCCCGTTTTATTGGAACCGGTTGTTCCCTGGGGAGCTGGAGGAAATGAAGGTGGGGGTGGGAGTGGGGTGAGGGGGTGGGGGGTAGGGGGGTCTGCTTAGCCTTTCTCCAGCTGAAGGGAGAGTGGGAACAGAGTCACTGGCTACCCTCATGCCCCAGAAGTACACGTTCCCTGGTAGTGAACTAGAGCGATACTGCCCTCAGCATGGGTGGGAGGGAGGCCTGGCCCCCGAGTCCTCGTATATACTGGAAGGCAAAGGGCCACCAGGTCCCTACCTTGGTTTTCTGGTGCGGTTCTTTCGTGCGTTATATTGTGTAGCACTAAAATGAAATATAAATGTTTTACCCTCCCTGGGGATACAGGGAAGCTCCAGGAACAAGGGTAGAGGTGGCGTATAGCCCCCAATTGGGAAGGGGCTATGCCCTGGGTCCCGCAACTCTTTCTCCATTGGCTCAGTCTCTCAGAATCAGTCAGGTCTGGGGGAGAAGGCTGCATCCTTGTGGGCCTTCGGAGCCTTCTCTGAGCCCCTTGGGATTCACAGGAAGGAGCAACAGCTGGGCCGCTTCTTCTGGGACTCGACGTAGTCTCGGATCTGAAAGCTGGGTTCACCAGCCTGCCGGTGGGCTCTGTATTTCAGCTCCCTGGAAGAGGAAGAAGCAATGAATGGGCTGCAGAGGGAGCGAGGTGCCGAGAGCATCCTCCCCTCTCCCACAGCCTGGGGCAAGTGGGCCTCAGAATGCAGAACTCAGCTGAGCTCAGGGGCTGGGCTGGAGGCCAGGCCCTGCTGGATTCCCAGATGGTGCCACCCCGCCCTGCATGCTTCCCTTCCCTGCTCAGCTCTCACTTGGCAATGGCCAGGAAGGCTAACTCCACATTCATGCCCGTCTTGGCGCTGGTCTCCATGAAGGGAACTCCGTACTCCTGCCAGGGAGAGTGTCCTCAGGACCAGCCTCTGGTTGCCCCCACCCGTCACCTTGCCCACAGTCAATCGCTTACCCTGGCCAGCATCTCTCCGTCCTCCGAACGTATCACCCGTCCACTGCTCACGTCTGCCTGTTAAGCCCAGGTGGGTCACTCTGGGGAAAGAAGCCTTGACCCCAGCTGGCCCCTCTCCTGCCCCCGCAGGCCCATCTTTTGCCCCAAGAGCAGGCGCTGCCCGCCCTCTGCTGGTGGCCAGTGGGACTGCGGGTGGTATGATCGTCATGGGGCCAGGGTTTTCACCTGGTTCAGGCTGAGTTCCCCAGCTCCCAGTCCTGGGACCTCACTCCCACTTGGGAAGGTGGGTAACTCTCCTCAGCAAATGTGTGGTGACCCAGTTTCAGAGGGGTGACAGTAGTTGGGGCTAACCCTTCGGGACTTAGGTCTGCATTTGTGACCCTAGTCACTACTCTCTAATAGGGACTGAAGAGCCGGGCAACCTCGGATCTGATGAGCAGCAGCTTGAGCTTTCCCTGCAGGGGGCCATTTCCAAAGCTTCCCAAGGGCAGATGAGAGGGGCTGAGGCCACCAGGTGGGTGTGACCCCTGAATGGAGACTGGAAAGAATTCTTTGCCGGAAGGATGTCCAGCTAACACTCTGGGGCAGCAATGAGGCTGGGCCAAGGTAATGCTGTGTCAGGCAGAGAGGAGAGGAGGTTTGGGGTAGGCTGACCCCGCCACGGAGCCACGCACCTTGTTGCCTAGCAGCATGATCACCACATCCCTCTGGGCATACTCGTGAATCTCAGTGAGCCACGCCTGTGGGAGGGGCAAGTTGAACACGGCTTAGGCTGAGCACCGTTCTCCCCCGCCCTTTCGCTCTTCCTTCTTCTGCCCTGTTGGATTATCCTGGGCTGCTCACTGTCCCCCAGACACCATGCCCTGTGCATTCTCTCATCTGCATTCTTGTTCTGGCCTCTCTGGTCCTAGGAGGCCCCAAACCCCATGAGTGCAACTCCTGGTTCTATAGAGGTGGCAGGGGCTCTGTCTCACAAAGCATTGGTAGTCACCAGCAATTTCTTTTTTTTTTTTAAAGATTTATTTATTTATTTATCTTTAGAGGGGAAGGGGGGAAGGAGAGAGGGAGAGAAACATCAATGTATGGTTCCCTTTCATGAGTCCCCTGCTGGGAACTGGCCTGCAGGGAACTGGCCTGCAACCCAGGCATGTGCCTTGACTGGGAATCGAACCTCGATCCTGTGGTCTGCAGGCCCGCGCTCAATCCACTGAGCTACACCAGCCAGGGCAGCAATTTCTTTTTGAGGATTCTAAGACTGCATCAGGGCTCCGGGATCAAAACTCCTGTGATTGAGCCCTGGCTGGTGCGGCTCAGTGGGTTGAGTGCTGGCCTGTGAACTGAAAGGTCGCTGGTTCAATTCCCAGTCAGGGCATATGACTGGGTTGCAGGCTGGGTTGCTGGTGTGGCGCATGCGAGAGACAACCAATCAATCTCTCTCTCACACACTGATGTTTCTCTCCCTCTCTCTCTAAAAATAAATAAATGAAATCTTAAAAAAAGGTACTGAGACTGGTTAGTGATGTCTGCTGTGAGCATGGAGTTGGAGGTTGCAGAATGAGTGCCATGGATATCCACCCTCTGTATTTATTTACTTTTAATTTTTAAAAAATATTTTATTTATTTTCAGAGAGAGGAGGGAGGGAGAAAGAGAGGGAGAGAAACATCACTGTGTGGTCGCCTCCTGCGTGCTTCCCCCCCACCCCGAGACCTGGCCCACAACCCAGGCACGTGCTCGGGCTGGGAATTGAACTGGTGACCCTTTGGTTTGCAGGCAAGGCGCTCAATCCACCGAGCCACAGCATCCAGGCCCCCACCCTCTCTATAAGTTGTTTCATATCTATATGTCTAGTTCCTCCAGTTTGCTTGTCAACCCCCTGAGGTCAGGGAGCCTGTGAAAGCTTTTCAGTGCTACGCACAGAGTCATTATTTGTATTTGTCGAATCATTAATCTCTTTTTGTCAATAGTTTGCTTGTGAGGACAGAGCCCCTGTTTGCCTGCGTCCCTTTCTGGCAGCTCAGCTGGATGTATGGGTGGCCTTTTCTGCGCGGGGGGGCCCCCCCCTTGGTCTCTGTGGGTAATTGACCAGGGTGGAGTGGGTACTTTCTGAACTTTTGTCACTGAGCGCACACATGACTCACCATCGGGGCCGAGCAGGTGGCAGAGGCGCACGACAGCCTGCCTGGCCTCCACGTGTCCATCACATTACTCAGTGGCAGTTTATTCCTCTGAGTCACAGCTCAGGTATGTTTCCAAGTCAGCGGAGTCCCGCGCTCTACTCCCTCCCCACAAAGCGGGAAGCAGTGGGGCTTCGCAGGCCCCCCGCTGTGGGGCAGTGGACGGAGGGACCTACCCGGATGTTGTCGAAGGAAGACTTGTTGGTGATGTCATACAGCAGGAGCAAGGCTGCAGGGGAGAGAGAGATCACACGGGGGGGCTTGGGGCAGAAGGGTGGCTGTCCCACGTGGGCTGGGGAAGGGGCTGGAGTGCACGAGGGACTGACCTTGGGCATCTCGATAGTAAGCGTGGGTGACACTGCGGAACCGCTCCTGCCCGGCGGTGTCCCAGATCTGAGAAGGGATGCACAAACGGTCAGAAGGGGGCAGGGGCAGGGACTGTGGTGGGCACACGAAACCCAGGCTGTGGTTCGACAGACGTGTGGGAAGCTGGGATCTTTCCTTCCCCAGGTTCTCACGGGCTTCTGAACACCTGACGATGTCGTGCCTGGTGACAGTTACGGAGTTCTCAAGCTTATTCAGTGCTGTCACCTCCTCCCCAGCCCAGGGGTTGGGAGACTCCAGCCTCCTAGAGCAGATGAGACCCGGGGAACAGGGAAGGACGGGGCAAGACAGTCTGTCCGCAGGCACTTGAGCTTCCTTTGGCAGAGGGTGCCTGGGAGCTGCTTTCTCTGCAGACATCACACGCACAGAAGTTGTTGTTCCTTCTTGTGTGCCCACAGGAAGTTAGCCCAGGTTGAGGGCAGGGCCACAGACCTCCTGCTGGTTGGGGTGAAGAGAAAGGGCAGGCCCCTCCCCCCGCCACCCGCCAGAGCCTTTGGTCTCACCTGCAGCTTTACCCTCACACCGTCCACGGTCACCACCTTGTTCTGCAAGAGAAAGGGGCAGAGGGAGGGGTGGTCAGAGGCCAGGGGAGGCTTGCCTCCAGCGCTCTGCTGACATCCTACTGAGGAGCAAACATCCTGTCCTTGTCCTTCCCCAGGGCTAGAGGGGGAGTGGTGAGTCTGAGAGAGGACTTCAGGCATATCACCCCAACAGGGCAGTGGGACCCTGTCCCCAGATGCCTCCATCGAGGAGCCCTCTCTTCTGGGAACTCCGTCTGCCCATCTCACAACATGCCAGCCAGGGTAAGGCCTGGCTCTTCCCAGGGCTCAGCAGGGGGCCCATTTCCCCCACTTCCACCTGCCTCTGCAGGAGCTCAGCCCCATCCTGCAGCCAAGTTCTTAGAGATGAGTTGCCTGCCAGCATCCTGGGGACCTTCTCCAGCTGCCCATTAATTCTCTTAAGTGGAGCTTCATTCCCTTCCCACTGGAAGGGGGGCACCCAGCGTCTGATAGACCCCCCTGCCAGGGTTAGACCTTACTCTCCCAGACCCTTTGGGTGTGCAGGGCTCAGAGTGCCCACTCAGCATCCTGATGCAGATTTGGCAAGGAGGGGTCTGCAAGGGGAGAGGAGGGGCCCCGGCGAGCCGCTCTCTCCCGACCTGGCCAGCCCAGCCCAGCTCTTCAACCCGGGCAGTGCGGTGCTTCCTGGCACACCTGGGAAGAGTGGTGGGCTTCTGAGGCCTCGCCAAAGAGCCCCGGTGAGAGGACGCTGAGCAATAGGGCTGAGGCCCGGGACGCTCAGCTCACACCGTCGATGTGTCTGCCTGGCTGGGGCAGAACTTCAAGACTCAGTCTCTTGTTTTTCATATTCTGTAGTGGGGCAAGGAGCCCATCAAGCCCAGACGCCTCAAACCTGGCCACCTCAGTGCTCCCAGGGGATCAGCCCTTGTGCTGTCCAGGCAGTGAGCCACCGCTGTCCTGCAGAGTCATGGTCAGCAAGGAGAGGGCAGCGCCCCTGTGCCAGAGCTGTACCCCTGGCTCACTGCTGGGAGGCAGAGCCTGCAGCCACCTCACCCTGAAGTCTATGCCGACGGTGGCTATGAAGGTCCCGGACAGGAAGGCCCCGTCTTTGAATTGGATCAGGAAACAGGTTTTCCCGACGCCTGTGTCTCCCAGAAGCATCACCTAGGAGATGGGGGCAGAGGCAGTTAATGGGGACTTGGACGTGTTTCTGTGCTTCCAGGAAGAGAGGCCCCGGAAGAATGGGCAGAGGGTGAGGGGAGGGTGCAGAGAGAGCCAGGGGCTCCTCTGAGTCTGGAAAGCCTGCTGCTGCCTTCCCTCTGCCTCTTCTGGTCCCTGCTCCTGCCTCCCAGGCTCCCCCTCTGACCCTCCTGTCTCTCCCCACTTTCCTGGAAGCTTGAGTTGAGACCTTGGCACCAGCAGGCCTCCAGATGTGCTTGGTGGCCCTGGAGAGCCACCTCACTCATCTTGGACGCCTCTGTCCCTGCCACAGCAGGCCCAGATTCCTTCCCACGGCACTGAACGTGCTCAGGCCACGCCTGAGTTCATGCGTGGCAGGGCTGTACTGCCGGAGAAGGGAAGGGAGGTGTTAACGCTTTGGACCTGGACAGGATTTCCACCCAAGGAGCTGATGGGGGTGGGGCACTGCTGTTTACAAAGGCGTGGCCCCAAGGGGCTGTCGTTCGGGTTCTCTCTTTGGTCACAACATTTATTTGGAAGTTTCTGATGACGTTTTACGTTTGTAGTAAGGTTGCATGACCTGGGGGAGGTTCAAATGTATACTGAGCTGGGGAGGCATTTCGTCTGAAGTTCTTTCAGCAGAGATCTCCCAAGTGGGACAAATGGCCACAAGTTGGCATTGCTGGGTCACCGTGGGGCAGGGAGTGTGGGGCGGTGGGGTGGGTCCCATCCGTGTTTGCTTGGCCAGTCTCTGCTCCCCTTCTCTGGGGAACATGGCATGGCAGGGGTCGGGGAAGGGAGCCCTCTGTCCAGGTTTTGTTCAGTACTGGAGAACAGAGGTCTGGACCTAATGCCAGAATTTTCCCTGATGGCCAGCTAGATACTTAGTGGGTTGAGCAGGGACAAAGTTTGGGTTATTCTTGAGGCTCTGACCTTGACAATGGCTCTCCCGCTCTGCACATGGGACACTGGGCTCAGCTAACAGCGGTGGAGAGGAATGAGGGCTGAGCAAAAGGTGTGTGAAGGCTGGGCTCCCGGCTCGTAAATAGCTTACTGGGGGGCCTTGGGAAGGTTCCTTAACCTGTGGCGTGGTTTCCACAGTGGCTAAGAGGAAGGAAGGATCATTTCTTTGAGGCCTTTCTAGAGTCTGTTAATGCTTAGGACCAATAACGTCAGCAGGAGCTATAAGACTTCATAAGAGTGGCCCATGGGTGTACTACCAGCCTGCAGCCCCATCCCTTCTAATGCAGTCCCAGCCCGTCCCGGATCAGACTCTTGGGGCAGGCTGAGGGCTCACAGGCTGGTGGAGGCCAGGGGCCAGTTCCCCACAGATGCTGTGGGGGCCCCTCTGTAGCCTGCGCTGCACCCTGGCTCCTGGGTCCCAGCCCCCAGCAAGGAGGTGAGGAGGGCGAGCTCCTGGGTCTGTTACAGGTCACGGCTGCCTTGAGCAAACGATGTCAGCCACCCACCAAGCCAGGCAAATCCCCTGAACACAAACAGCTGCCCAGCCTCCTAGGCAAACAGCTCAGCTGCCTCCTCTGGCTAGGAGGTCAGGCTGTTCCTACCAGCTCGGGGGCTGGCCCTTAGCAGCTTCCCTCCCACCAAAGGCCAAGGCGCGGGGCCCATTTCCTGCTGAGAGCCCACACAGGGCTCCTATCTCAACGGCTCTGGGCCCTCTGGGCGGTGACTTGCAGAGTGGTTTCCCCTGAAACAATGGGGGTGGAGGCCCAGGTTCCTAGCTAGACTGAGCCCCTGTGTGTGGGGAGGAAACCAAGGCCCAGAAAGAGGCAGGTCTCTTTCAAGGCCATGCCCCGTGCCACAGGACGGCCTGCTCACACGACTAGCAGCAAGCCTAGAAGACGCGCAGAAGCACAGGCTTCCCTCAGCCCCTCTTCCGGAGTTCCTGGTGTCTGCTGGCTCCAAGGTCATGGAACGAGGGGACAGACCAGTGTCCACTGCCACCCTCACCTGCTTCTGTACAGGGTCACCCTGTAGAGGGACTGAGACCCAGAGAGCTGACTTATACTCTCCCAGGAGGGGGACTTGTGACTAACGATTGAGATCTTTCTCAGGTTCTAAAAATTCCCAGGTGGGCCTCCGTTCTGGTTAGCAACATCCTCCTGGAAGAAGGGGTGAGGCAGGAGCGGAAAGGGAAGAGGAAGGACTTGTGGTTATTGGGGGACCTAAGGAGTTTCGGGTCTAAGGAAGAAACTGGAGGGTGTCAGGTCTCAGCTGAGAGCCCAGCTGGGAGAAGCGCATTAACCTCAAGTTGCCCCACTGCCCCAGAGTTGTCCACTCTGTGTGTCCAGGTGTCCATCCCTATTGCCTAGCCCCTCGGGTCCCTGTGTCCAGGAGAGTTAACCCTTATTGAGAAGCACAGGTGTCCCCGGGGACTCATATTAGCCAGAGTGTGGCAGAAGAAAATTGGGGTGGGGAGTCACTTCCAAGCTTCCTCTCCCAGCCCTGGCAGAGCCACCCCAGATTCCAACAGGCTGGGATGTGTCTCGACCCTCCCTCTCTACTCTGGGACACTTGGCTGCCTGGGGGAAGGGCTGAGTCCAACTTAGGCGGAGCCAGAAAGGCGCTTGGTACCAGGAGCCCCAGGGTCTCAAGCCAAAGGGCACGGGGAGGGATGGCTCTCAGAGCCTGCACGGGAGTCCCCAGCTACCTTGCGTAGTGTCCACCCACCTTGTGCGTGAGATCGTAGCTCGGACTGCAGGGCAGGGAGAGCTCGGGGACCTCGCCATCCTGGGTGGCAGCGGCGGCACCAGGCTTGCCTGTCATGTCTCTGGACGAGGTGAGCTGGGGCCAGTGGCGCCCAGGGACAGCGCAGCAACAGCTCCGCCTTAGCTCCACCCACTTCTTCCATCCCTCCACCGCCAGGGCCAGGACCCTGACAGGCTCCTCCCTGTGTCTTGCCACCCCAAAGACACCGGCGGGAACCGGCTCTCCTGCCAGGGCGCGTAGGACCGCAGGGTCAGCGCCCGTGGAGCAGGCGGGCCCCCTTAGCAACACTGACCCGGCTTCCTGCTCTGAGGGCATGGGCCAAATCCATCCTTAGGTTGAGTTCCCATAGATGGCGCTCCCTGGAGACCCCGCCGCTGCGGAAGGTCCGGCATCTTTAGGACTCGAGCTCCAGTGCCAGAGTTTCCGCTGTCGCTGCGCAGCGCGGCCAGCAGGCGGAGCCCAAACCCAGCCAGCTGGCGGTCAACAGGTGTAGGGGGGGGGGGGGTCCGGGTCCCGGAGAGGCTGCGAGGGCCCTGCCCAGCGCAGCACAGTGCAGCGCTGCGTTTGAGAGAAGGTGTACATTCTGAGGAAAGCGCCCAGGCAGTATCGCTGTTAATATAACGCAGCCCAGCCTGAGCGCATGTAAAAAAAATTTTATTTACTGACCAATATTCACCTTGCAGCCCAGGGCCCCCGACTGGCTGGTGCTCCAACTTTGACCCTGCAGTGCAGGTCCCCTCTCATTTCTCCCCAACCTGTCGGACTGCGTCCAGAATGTTCCACCATGGGACAGCCTTCGCCACACGACGCTACTGGTCTAGGCGCTCCTGAAGGCAGGGCTGGCCCTCGCACCTGGGACCCTCTACCTTTACTAGTTTAAGGCAACTAGTAAGCCTTAAACACTTGATACCAAATGAATTCTGACGCTGTGAATCCTTCTGAATAGTCTCTGGGAGACCCCAGGAACCCTGCAGCCCCTGGTGACGGAGGTTGCAGCATGTCCTGGGTTGCCCCCAGCAGAGGTCAGGGACTCTGCGGCCTGGGCCAACCCTTCAGTTATGTCTGGCCCAACATTCTATACAAGCCGTTTCAGCTTAACAAGGCCAGGACACAGCGCAGGGTGGGCGTAGTATAAAGGAACTGTTTGAGGGATGTAAAGAGGGGAGGAGCACCTGTACCTCTGCTTAGGTGTTGGGGTGAAGGACAAGAGGTAGGCGTGGCTTATGGGTGATGGTAGGTCACCTGTGTCCAGCCCTGGGATTTTTGGCATCAGCTGGAGTTACTCTGCAGAGGCGGGCCTGCCAGAACCCCATCAGGGTGTGGGGTGGGACTCCGACAAGGAGGAGCTGTGAATGGGAGAGGAGAAGCAGCATAGACAATGGATTTGGATTTTACTCAAAAGCCAGTAGTGAGCTAGGGAGGTATTGGGTGGGGTGTGAGCAGAGAGTGCCTTTCGGAGGATGAATTTTGCAGCGGTATTTGGGCAAGACTGGAGAGTGTGGGGAATGCCGAGCCAAGAAGTAGCAAGGAGGACCCGAACCGGGCTGGCCGGAAAGACTACTGCATGGACCCCGTTGATGTCAGCACCCCAATAAACCCGCCTCCAGGACCTGCCAGCCAGCTTGATGGAGCTGGGAATGGAGGAGCTGGGGAAGACCTTGATTTGGGAGGTGTCCACAGAGGATCTGGGCAGGTGCCACTCCCGGAAGCCACAGGCTTGGTGGTTTCTGGGCTGAGGGTTGCTCCAGAGGCCCTGGGGTCTGGCTCGGGGGTCCCCTAGTAGTGACCCCATTCACCCTGTGTCCTTTAAAGCAGAAGTCCCAGGCCTCTGTTTTTCTCCTGCTGCCCGGGCTGCTCTCAGCCTTGTGAGCCGTGCCCACAGGTGTGTCAGAGATCCTAGTGCCTCAGTGACCCTCCCGCAGGAATTCAGGCTACAGCCAGCGCCAGCCACGGGCCAGCCACGGGCCACTTGCGAATCAGCAGTCCTTGAAATCTCCGTGTGAATGACAGATGGATAAGCACGTGTCTTGGTGCCTGGCTCTCCGGGGACCCCCAGACCACTGATATTTGAAGGAGACCCCAGCGTCCCCAGCCCCCTTGCTCAGCATGCCACAAGAGTCTTTCGCTGTGGTGCAAAGAGCTGGCTGCTCTGAGCAAGGGTTGGAAAGAGACCTTTCTCTGGGAAGGAAAAGAATGGGGGGCCCTCAGAGACAGACATTTCCTTAGCAATGGCTACAAACCTCTTTGCAGATAAGCAGCTGTGTGGAGTGGGCCCAGGACCCACCACGTATCCTTGGCGTGGCTCCTACCATGAGCTGCTCTTGCTACACTCAGACACCAGCAAATGGGGTCCCCTGGGTCTGTGCCACAGCTGAGGAGCAGGGTACGTGTCTGTTTGTGCTCCCGGGCCATTCACTGGACCCAGGTGTCCCCAGGCTCGGGCCTAGGTCATACCCTCAGCCTCTCCCCCGTGTAAGCTGCCCATGGGTTTGTCCTGAGTGAATCAAAGCTTCCCGGAGCTGACCGGTGTCAAGGAGACAGTGAGGCTCTAGAAGGTCCAGCCGAGGGGAGAGGGAGAGCCCGGCCTGCCCCATCTCAGGCTGTTCATTTCCAGCTCTGAGTTTAACCACGCTCATTCTTCCTCCCCACAGGTGGGCGGGGGCCTCACTTTCCCTACCAGGCTAGTGGCAAAATGTGGAGGTCCCCCTCCCCCCACTCCCCAAGCGTGATGGGCATGCAGTGGGCCAGGTGACTTGAGTGTGACTGTGAGGGGGCAGCCTGGGCAGGGGCCCGTGGTGGGGGACACCAGGCACCAGACATGCTGGCTCACTTCCCGGGAGGCCTTGGGGCTATAAGGGAAGCCTCCCCCCCCCCCTCCCCCCCCCCCCCGCCCCCGGACGCAGCCGGCACTCTGGAGCCCAGCGGGCTCCCAGCAGCAGGAGAGCCCAGGCACTGGTGGACTCCAGGCTCCACACCCTGGCTGGGCTCTCATTTCTGTTTTGCTTTGAAGCCCTGTCCATTGCGGGCCCTTGACTTCCTGTCTGTGACCCACTGGGCAAGCTCCGGGTCTGGGGTTCCCCTTCTCTTATTCTGCAAACATGACCCTACTGTGTGTGTCCCAGCCCCAAGTGTGGCCTCACGGGCCTGTGTTCTGCTCAGTCCCAGAAGCTGGCCTCTCAAACACCAAGGCTGCCCAAGAAATGACATTCGTTCTTCCCCAGGATTCTGGAGACCCCAAAGAAGGGCCCCGCAGCTCCTGAGACCAGTCCGGGAGGAGAGCCAGACCCTCTCCAGGGGACTGCTGGGGCAGAGTTACCCAGAGCAGCTGGCAGTAGTGGGGAAAGACTATCCTTCTGAATAGTCTCTGGGAGACCCCAGGAACCCTGCAGCCCCTGGTGACGGAGGTTGCAGCATGTCCTGGGTTGCCCCCAGCAGAGGTCAGGGACTCTGTGGCCTGGGCCAACCCCCAAACTCACGGGCTGAGGGAGGCCTTCTTGGACCACAGGTGGCTGTGGGTTGGGAACACTTCCCTAATCTGAGCTGTCCCCTCACCCCCGTTCTGGGTCCAGAGAGAAACCGAGAGCTGAAAATGAAACTTTCACCTTCGGCCAACCAGCACCCTAGGACCATAATGCTACGATTGCATCATTTTAAAAATGTGAAGCCTTGCTCTTGCCTCCCCAGGTTCCTATTGTCCTGGAAGGTGGACCGGAACAATCCGAGCCAACGCACTCCCTTGCTTTCCAGCTTCTGGGGTGTATAGCCAGTGGGGAGCCCCGCAGGACCTGGGGGAGCAAGACGAGGGCAGTGTGGGGGCGGGGTAGTAGGCGTGGCTGTCTTTCTTGTTCCTCTACAACTACAGTCACTGCTCCTGCCTGCCGGCCCGCTCCACACCGCCGCCCTCTCTGCCCCGGTCTGTGACAGCTGTCTCCTTGCATTTCTTTTAGGCCGAGGTGGGGTGGAAGCCTTAGCTGCTGCCCAACACGGCGCCATCCCTCCTGGCTTTCCAACACCTGGTGCACATTGTGGTAAACAGGCTTTTTGTGAAGCCCCCTTAAGTGATCCAGTGTGAGGCTGTTTCCTGCTGGGATGCTGGCAGAGGCCACCCAGGGCCCGGAGGCTGGGAGCACTTACTGTGAATCCGATGCCCACGGTGGCCGAGAAGGAGCCGGGGATGAACTTGCCCTGGTCGAACTGAACCAGCAGAGATGTCTTCCCCACACCACTGTCGCCCACCAGGATGGTCTGGAAGGGGCAACAGAGAAGCGTGAGGGCCTGTGTGTGAACCAGGCCTCCGTGGGGTTGTTGTGACTGGGACCGTGGGGTCCTTGCACGCACACACAGACGCACACACAAACACAGGGACACACTCATACGCACACAGAGGGCACCCCCACACACGCCACACTCCTCGTTGCCCACTGAAGTCACTAAAGAAGGCTGAGAGCACAGAGGAAGTCCCGCTTCTCCCCACGTGAACAAACATCTGAGGGGGCCATAAGCATGTGCCTCCCAGACTTCCAAGCACAGGGCCCTGGTGGACGGGGCCCTGAGCTGCACTCTGCAGTCCACTGTGGGCATGTTCGCGATGAGGCCACGCCTCTCATGGGCGGGGACTTAGAGGTACACCTGGTGTCTGTGGGACACAGGACTCCCCTAAGGGCTGATTTTGGCTGGAGGACCTCCTCAGGGCTTTATAGAACCTTCCAGAGACTGCATGGTGGTCTCGGACACCCACACGCAACCTCCCTGGCCTCTCTCTTCACTTGGGGTCAGACCTGCATCGAGGTCTCCCTGTCTCTCCTGGTTTCTGCCCTGTGTTTCCCCAACAAAAGCCCTGCACATTTAGTTCCCTTTTGACATCTGCTTCGTGGGAGACCTGGCCCAGCGCCACACATGTCCTGTATGGGAAAGTCTAAAAAAATACTCTGTAGAATAAAGAAAGCCCGGACATCTGGCTGTGTGCCTTGGGGACTGTTTGCCCTTGGCCCTGGAACGAGGCGGTGGAGAGAACAACGCTTCAAAGAGAGCAGAGTTTGGAGAAGGAACGGAAGGCCACACTGTCCTTCAAGGGGTGAGGACAATGAGCGTGGCAGTTCAGGTGCTGTCTGTGAAAGGGACTCAGACGCAGCCGGGGAGAATATGCAGGGTGGGCAACGGCAGGTTTACAGCTGTTTGTGGGGAACAAAACAATAATTAATAAACAGTGATACGAGGATGAGCTCCATGTTTCGAGGACTCACGACAGTAAACCTGCTTTTGCCTCGCCCTGTGCACGCACCCACGGGCTGGTGCCCAGCCGTGTCTGCCGAGTAAACGAACGGATGGACAGAGGAGCGGCTAAGTGCCCGAGTTTCAGAGTGGACAGAGGACACTTTTCAAA